GTTATTGTTGTATAGCAGCTCCTCTAAAGGATGAAAATTTGGGTTACTTCGTATCTCAAGAAATCATATAATAAATTTTTTGTTAGAGGTAAAAGATGGTAATTCAACTTTTTGTTGTACAATGCTTCTAGATTGCACAATAATCATCATACAAACTTTACAAAGTCGATACATACAAAATATATGTTATTTGTACAATAATCATCATATCAATCTTAGGCTTTTCAAAAAATCAAAAATTTATCCAATACAAACCGAATAAAATTAGATTGGATCGTATCGGATTTGAAAAAAATCTAAACCAAATGGATGATTACATGATTAAACCAAAGGGATTGGATCGAATAATTTTTGCTTTCAAAATCGATCCAATCCAGACGCAAACATCCCTAGATAACACAACTCTAAGGGAGCGAATAAAGTTGTTTAAAAATTTTCTTCAAAAATTTGTTTTATACAACTCAATTTAAATTTAAGTATCCTAAAAATACTTGCTTACCAAAAAAAAATCCTAAAAATACCTTTGGCCTTTGTTGATTTTAGTGCACAACTAGATTTGCTAACTGTATTAATTAACTTAGCAAACTAATTCAATTCCAAAATATACAGCAAGGTGAAAAGGTCCCAATGCCCAAAAAATAAATTTTAATATCAAAGTTAACTTGACTCAAAAGCAATGAATAAAGTGAGTCAAGAACATGTTATATGAGAGACAACTAGCATAAATATAAATGGAGATAAAGGTAGAGAGATTCATATCATAGATTTAAGATGTTCACAACCCCTAAGTGCAACAGGGAGGCTACGTCCACTCCCCTAGGCAATGAACACTACAAGAATACCAGCATTTTGTGGCGGTTATATCAGCTTATTGCGGTAGTTAAAATCGCCGCTAGTTACTCCAATCAACGATTCATGAACCGTCGCGATTAACACTGTCGCGAGATAAAATGAGGCGATTCTCATGAACCACTGGAATAACTGCCTCCAAAAGACTCTCTGAAGCAATTTTGTAGGCAGTTTGTGACACTAAAAAATGGGTTCAAGTTTACCAAAGGCAGTTAGTTAAACCTCTTAAGATTTTGTATAGTACCAAGTTATGGAAAGTCACCTCAATTCTCTTTAAAAAACAAAAAAAATTATTATGACACAAATTTTATAATATTAAACTCAAGCTTTTTTGATTGACTATTGAATAAGTCTCTTGCTGTATACTTTTATATTCAAGTGTAGGTGTGTGTCAGTGTCTAACTGTGGGTTCTTATATAGAGAGGAAGGGAGAAGGAGGAGTAAGGATCATCCAATGTGGGACTTCAAAGTAAAGGTGAGATGTCTTTTTCAATGTGAAACAGCAATCTTCGAAAATTTATATCTAACACCAGAGGATTCAACTAAAAAATCTGAACGATAAAATTAAAGTATCACAAGAGAAGAACACACTAACAAAATTTAAAGACGATCCAACGGCTAAACAAAGAGATCTCCCTTTTTGAGTCTCATTGTCCCACAGGCCATGAACTGTCTCTAAATGTACTTTAGAGGCGGTTAAAATAATCGCCTCTAATATACATTTGGAGGCGGTTGACGTGAAACAGCCTCTAAATATTTTGTAGAGGCAGTTAAAATAACCACCCCTAATAAATATTCAAAGCCGATTATCAATTAACCGCCTCTAATTGGTATATTTAGAGACAGTAATACACTAACTGCCTCTAAATGGTCTATAGTAGCGGTTAAAATAACCCCCCCCCCCCCCCCCAAAATGAATGTTCAAAGGCGGTTATTAAATAACTGCCTCTAATTGGGTCATTTAGAGGCAGTTATACTCAAACCGCCTCTAAATATGCTATAGAGGCGATTAAAATAATCATCCCTGATGAGTATTTAGAAGCGGTTATTATGTAACCACCAGGCGAACCGCATCTAAGTGTAAATTGGAGGCGGTTTAAGGGAAACCGCTGAAAAATACTGATTTTCTTGTAGTGGAAGCATTAGGTATTTGTTACCACTATTTTTTATCAAAGTGATGTTACATTCAATCAACTTTCAAACAAAAGATCCTATCCTATAAGGGAAAATAATAATTCTTTATTTTTGTTAATTGATCAACAATGATATAGAAGCAATTGTTAATAGATGCTTCAAAAACCCATGCAAACTCTCGGTCAATATTCAACTAAAGGATTTCAAGACTTAAGAAAGGGTTCAAGAATTTCTTATAAGAATTCAAACTTTATGAGAAAAACAAGATGTAAACCTTTGGATTTTAGGAACCCTTGCTCAGAGTTCTACAAAGAACCGCAACACCAAATGAATGTTTCAGCAATCTGTCACAAGATCTCAAGAATTCAAGCTTAGGTCACCATCAATATCAATTTCCTTCAACACTTCACAATACATTTTTCTTTAGCCACTCACGATAACAATTTTCTATCAATCCTTTTTTTACGACGAAAGGCCTCAAATTTTTCAATTTTTGAGAATTTGGAATCATAAGCCCTGCTGAAAAATGAGTTTCAACGACGTATATATTTCAAGAAGAAAAGGAAATTTTTTTTTTTTTTTTGAAAAGGTGGTTCCTTGGTCAAAAGATATAGAGAGCAATTTTAGAAAATTTGTGTGTAAAAAGAAACAAAGATCATATTGAACTTCATCGTCATCTCCATCATCTAATCCAGCTAGATACAAAAAAGAAGCTCGCACTTTACATCTGTGGCCCGGATGGAATTTTTCATCACAATTATAACATAGATTCATATCACATCGAGCCTACATTTCAGCTTGAGTGAGGCGACGTATTGGTAACGAGGATAAGTTTGTGGCATGCTTAATAACTATCTGAAGAGGGGTTGGCTAGGTTGGTTGAACTTGAATGTTTGGGGAAGACAATGCATTGGAACGAGGGATCCAGGATTTTGCAGGTTTTTCATGGCCTAATTTATCCTCATAGACCTTAGCATAGGCCAATTCCTCGTGGATATCTTGTGGTCTGTGGACAAGTACAGAACAGGAAATCACAAATTTCAATACAACTAAGAAGAGCCACTTACGAACAGTAACCGAAAGGCCAGGAACCTTACGAGATAGCTGCTCGAAAGCAATGTAATATTCAGCCATTGTCCTAGTTTGTTACAACTTAGCAATTGCCACTGAAGTGTCTTAAAAATCAATGGGATCAAATCGGCGGTGTAAGGAAGTGGTAAAAGATGGCCAATCAAGAAGCAACCCATCCTAGTCCAGAGATTTGAACCAAGAAGAAGCTAGTGGATCAAGGTTAAAAGAGACCACAAGAAATCTCTCATGAATGGGAACATTACAAAACCTGGGGAAATCAAGCTTCAATTGACGTTGACGATGAGATTTAGGTAGGACGTTGTTATAAGAACGTGAAGGGCTAGAACCCAGAACACCAGCTTTTCGATCCAGAGAAGAATGGTTAGAATGGAGGATAGAGAGAACTTCTTGTAGTTGTTGCTACAAGTCCTCCATCTATTGGTTGTGTGTGTCCATCCTCTGGTTGTGTGAAAGCTCCATAACAGTGAATTGGCGATCCTAAGCAAGCTCTAGATTAGAGATTTGCTCTTGCATTGTCTGGCGAGATAGTTGGAGTTCATGAACCTAATGTGTAATATCACGTAGTCTTTTGTTTTCCGCCAATGGCACCAATGAAAGCACCAATATAACGAGGGAGATCTGGAAATTAAGAGAGATAGAGAGAGAGAGAAGATGAAGTGTGGATTCACATAAACCATACCATTCTCATTCATTCTCTTTGTCTATATAATATAGGGGAAAATATGTATCATTTTAAAGGATGTAAAATTGTGTCATTTTAAGTGATAAAAAGAGATAGATAAAGAATGAGAAAGAGTGGACAAAAAAATATAAAGATATGGGTCCCACCTCTTTGCGAGAGTGAAATGATATAAGTGATGTAATTTAAAAGGACAAACACTTTTCCCTATAACAAATTCTATTATGTTACACTCATTGGGCTTTCAACGAAAATAAGACTCCGATATTGATTAATGGGCTGGACAACAATACATCTATCCCACTATGTAATCTGAGAAACGTTTGGGCTGTTGTATCTTCCTTCTGTCTCTTAGCACAATAACAGTTGCTGGGTTGTGGTCTCTTGGGCTTGCATCATGGGCAGGGCCGGTTACAATGGTGCAGTTTTATTGTCTTTTTCTTTTCTGTTAAAAAAGTTTTAAAACGATTGACGACTATGCTAAACAAAATTACTGTCACTGTTCTAAAGAAACAATTTAAAACTCTAAAGCTATATACAAAAATAAAAATAATTAGAAACGTTGAGGAGCATAAATTTTTGCATGCTTTTGTTGCGCACTTTAAGAAAAAATAACATTCCTAAAAAAATTTCAGCATCTAATTTAATGGGAAAATGCTATTCAGACAACTAGACAAAGGACATACCTAAAAGATATTACTGTACGCAGAGCATGTTTCACTCGGGTACATGCAACCGCATGTTTCAAGGGAAAATTCTTTATTCTATCTGATCTGTAAAATAATTCTTGTTGCTCTAATATATTAAACCGAACTAAACCACCATTGGTGAATATCTAATTCAATTACAGAGTATCAAAATTTTCAAGCACTCTTCAATGTCTTGCTGAGATGATATATAAAAGAGCTAAAGTTGCTTCCCTAAAATCAAGATCAATTGCTTGATCCCAATTGCCTCAACTGTTTGCCTCGTCAATACAGAATCTTATGCCAGATTTCCCCCCAAATCAACCAGATGAAAAGCTCCTTTGATAGAAGGATTTGCCATAGGTTCGAGTGTGTCCAAACGGGGGCAGAGATGCCCATGGATACTCCAAAATACAACGGCCCATGTTTCATAATAATTTCCTTTTGATTTTTATACGGCCTTTGAGCTGATGTATAATGCCAGAGGTAGGTTCGTTTAAATTATCTAAATCAAGTATAAAAGAGTACAAACATCAGCAGAAAAACAAATAAGACTCCCACTATATATTAATGTGTCATCGGATCATACTAACCTGATGAAACCACTCTATCAACGTGACTAGTTGAGCTGAGACAGCTGAGTGCCATTTAGTCCAAATTTCCCCACTTCGGTAACTTCCAATAAAATAACTCTTCAGCTCCTCACCAAGCTATTCAACAATTTTTGGAACATACCCTTCCCTTTGGAGCTCTGCGTAGAGCAAATCAATTATGTTACATACATCTACAGAGTCAAGCCATAAGCCATCACCAGCGCGAAATTCATGCAACTGATTCTCAATTTCAATCCAGCTACAACCAGGAGTTTTAATGACACCCTTCTGTCTCATCAACTCTCTCATCCTTGCTGAATCATCCCACATATTCAAATTTGCATATATTTTTGATGAGATAATATAGTTCCCAGAATTTGAAGGATCCAACTCCAGAAGCAGATGCATAACCCGTTCACCTATTTCTACATTTTTTTGCCTTCGACAGGCACCATGTAAAGCACCTAATGTAACCTTATCTGGTTTTTCAGGCATTTTCTCAATGAGATCCCAAGCTTCATATAAATGACCAGCACGTGACAATAGATCAACCATACAAGAGTAATGCTCAATTTTTGGTACCAATCCAAACAATGTGCTCATCATATCAAACAATCTGTAGCCCTCTGCAACAAGGCCTACATGCACGCAAGCAGAAAGCAGCCCTACAAATGTTATGTCGTTAGGGCGAGCACCACCACCCTCATTGGACATGCGCTGAAATAGTGATAGGGCTTCCTTGGCTTTCCCATGAGAAGCAAGCGCAGAGATCATTGCATTCCAAGAAGCTTCATTTTTTCGGGGCATGTCTTTGAAAACTCTCTGTGCGCTGTCCAAACTCCCACACTTAGCATACATATCAATCAATGCAGTAGCCACAAAAATATCATGTTGAAATCCTCTTTGTGATGCATATTCATCAATCTGTTTCCCCAAATCCAGAGCCCCAATGCCGGCACACGCAGACAGAACTGCGGTCAAGGTAATTTTATTTGGATTAATATACTCCTCCTTCATGCCATGGAATAAAGAGATTGCTTCATCCGCCATTCCATTTTGAGCATATCTGTCATGTATGTATAAATCGAAGAATAAATAAAAAATTGAGAATGTAGGAAAACCAATTTAAGACTCACAATTGGAAAAGTGAGTAGAACATGAACAAAGCATTCTTAAATCTACTGTCTAATCCATCATGCATAATAAGGGCAACTTGGTTCTAAAGCTCCTGTTTTGTGCAGCGTTTGACCCATACAAATAGTAAGCAGTCTTACCTTGATATTACCAAAGACAGATTACATGAATTGAACTATGACCTCCTGGCCACATGGGACAACACCAATTATTCTACCAAGGTTTCCCACCCTAATCCAACATGTTTATCCATATAAAATACCATTACATGATTATGCTCATGCAAGCCAAAAGATAGAACCAATTAACTTAGTTAATCTCTAGAAAAAAATATAAACAATATTCTTACCCTGATATAACAGCATTCCACGTGATAACATCTTTTTTTGCCATGCTATCAAAGACCCTTCTAGCCGACACCAAATCACCACATTTAGCATACATACTAATCAAAGCAGAACCTATATACGAATTAAGGGTCATGTTATGTTCCACAACAAACCCCTCCACCCACCTCCCCAAGTCCAAATTTCCCAATTCACCACAAGCCCCAAGAACACTCACCAGACTCATCTCATCAGGCTCAAACCCAGCATCCCTCAACTCCCCAAACATCTCCACCGCCTCCCTCGCGTAACCCATCTTCGAATACCCAGAGATCAACGAGTTCCACGACACCAAGTCCTTCTCAGAAATTTCATCGAACACCTTCCGTGCACAACCCAACTCGCCACACCTTGCGTACATAGTAATCAACGAGTGACTGGTATGAGAATCAGAGTCCAACCCAAGTTTGAAAACCATAGAATGGCCCAAACGGCCATGTTGAATCTCCACAAGATTGGCACAAGCGAGGAACAAGAAAGGGTATGTGAAGTTATTAGGCCTAAGTCCCAAGGACTTCATTTGGTAGTAAAAGTGAAGAGCGAGAGGGTAATGGTGCCACGTGGTGGTGAGGCCACGGATCATGATGTTGAAGGCGTAGTCATTGGGGTGAGGAGCAATGTGGGAGAAGAAAAGGGAAGCGTAGGTGAAGTCCTTGAGGTGTAGTATAATATGGGAGAGAAGGTGGTTGGGCTTGTGAATGGAGTTCACAACCATTTGGGTGTGAACCTGTTGAAGGGTCTTGATTGATGAACATTGTTTCACAAGGGATAATAGAGCTTCGGCTGAGTAGTGATTTGCATTGGCAACTACATTCTCAAACCGGGAAATCAGCATGTGTAACTCAACCAGTTCTTAGTTTTTTCGTTGAGTTCACAAATCTTTTGGGTTCAGGAATCAGCACATGTATAAAAATTAATATATAGTCTCGCCAATGGTCTTGGTCTTAATCTTGCTTCTTGGGTGCCAATCCAAACACGTTGCCGTTTGGTCTTGGCTTTCCATATTTTGGTTCTCAAGTAGTGTTCTTTCATAAGCAATATATCATCGTAAACCCTTATGGCCGTTTTGGTAGAGTGCATAATTTTTACAATCCCATAAAACTCATTGTTAATCCAATTTGGTATATAGATTCTTAAAATTTGCCTGCCAAAACGAGATTTCTACAAATTAAAATTATGAATAAGAATCTCGTAAAATAATGGGAGATCATTTTCTTTTGTTATCGGAGAAAAATCATCTCCTGCTATCTCATTAATTTTTTTTTAAGTTTTTTGTTTTTATTTTGGAAAAAAAAATTCTCAATGTTGTAGAAGAACTCTTTCTCATGTTAGTGAGAGTTCATTTTGCGTGCAATAATTTCTTTTGTTTTCTTTCTTTTTTATGTGTGGGTCCCACTATGAATTTGAGTATGTAGGAAAATTTTCTCCTCTCCAATAACATGAGAAATGCATTGCCCTTTTATTTTTTAAGTAAAATGGTGGGACCCAACATAAGATTATGTGGGTGACATAAGAAAAGAAAATTCCAGCAACATAAGAAAAGATTTCTCCTAAAATAGTTAGATTTCAACTTGGTAGAAAATTTTTACATAATTTATATGATATAAATATTTTATATTTTCATGACTAGAATATTATTTCTTATGGAAACCTTTTTGTGGCATTTTTCAAAAATTCATCAAAGGTTAATTTTATATATCCGTCCACAATCCCAGAAATCATTAACAATCAATCAAATATAGTATCAGGAAACTTGAGCCAACATTCCTGAGAATATTTTGACTTACTAAATAACTTTTTGTTAAAATTCCTAGAAAATTCATTTTCTCATAATATTCCTCGGAATCATGGTTTTTATGAACAGAAAGATTTCTCGTCTATCAAACGTCGCTGTAATAAAGTTTGTAGTTTTTCCTAACCTCAAATAAGTAAGTGCCTTTTCTAATATAAACTTTTTATATTAAAAAAAGAGATTAATGTTTTCGATGTTTTAACAGATAATTTTATCTCTTACACATGTAGATCCCGTTTGAGGCCATGTGGAGAAAAGAAAAAAAAATATGGGCCTCATATATTTTTATATATGTATAGGAGATAAAATTATCTATAAGAAACATTAATTTCTTAAAAAAAAAAAGGATTTTATTAATCTTATGTTGTAGGAAAATAATTATCACCTACTATAGACACAATCATGGGTAAAGTCTACACACTTATAAACAATAAAAATAAAAATAAAAATTGAACTACGTGAAAATCTATGGAGGTGTACGAAAAAGAGCTATTCTCTAACAACGTACAAGTTTTTCCCTAAAAAAACTATTCGTACTAGTATCGAATCCCTCCATCCAAGCTAGAGGTGGCAATTTGGGTTGAACCCGACGGGTCAACCCGCCAACTCGCCAAAATGGGGCGGGTTAGATTATACTTTTCAACCCACCGACCCACCTCAACCCATCCCGTTTAGTTGTGGGTCAAAATGGGTTGGCGATGGGTCGGGGCAGGTTGGCCCGCGGGTCAGTTCTTTTAAAGCTTTTGTGATATAAATTTTTTTAATCTTAGTACTCGTCTAGAAAAAATAAAGAAGAAAAACTTTATTTATTACAAAGGTTATCCATATATTGAGGCAAAAATAAGTTCCTAAAAAATATTTGACTGAATATTAGTATACATTTAAGTTTGAGATTGAAAAAAAAACTAAAGGGATTGTGAAATAAAAATAAAAAAATTATAAAATTAATAAAATATAATTTATTTTTAACTTTTAACTATTTTTTATTTTTTAAACAGGTTTACCCGCCAACCCACCACAAAACGGGATGGGTTAGGATTTTCAACCTACATCAAAATGTGAGGCGGGGCGGGTCAACCCATTTTTGACGGGGCGGGACGGGCCGACCCATTTTACCACCTCTAATCTGAGCTCGACTCCCCCAACTATCTAAACTAGCCTGAGGCCCATGTGGTTACACTGTTTTTGAGAGGCCCAACATTCCCACAAAATAAGATTACGCCTGAAATGTATGAGACTATGATCGATTAGATTATATAATGCTTGTTTTTTAAAGCTTAAATTTAGAGAATAATTGCTTGTTTTTCAGTAAGATTTTGATTATAATCTATTTGAACACAAAATAAAAAAAATTCAAACACACATTTTTAATTTTCATTCTGTGTAAAACTTAATAAAACGATAATTTAATTTGTGTTCCAGAGCTGATTAGGCAAGTACCCCCTATTCAGAGGCATATGTATCTTTACATATATTTTACAAATTATTTTCTTATTAATCACTCCTGTGTACATTGTTATCCTTCTTTGTTGGTGATACCATCTATATCTCTTCACTTGCATGGCTAACATAGCCCCAATTGCCCGCAAGTGCGGATAGAAATTTTTTTTAAAAAAAAATTAAAAAACTTTCTTTAGCAAATAGATTCCCAGATGAGCATTGAATTATTTTATTTTATTTTTTTTTGTAAATAAAGAGGGGCTAAGCCCCAGAAACAGAAAGAAATTACAAATCATAAACTAACAAGCTAGACATATTTCTAGCATCAGCAACTATAAGTTTCATCAACTGAGGAGGAGGATCTTTAAAAATCTTAAAATCAGCATTGAATTATTTGTATTGAGTTAATAAATTATTGTTGGCACCATCGACCACGTCAGCGTTAACTACAAGGAACTTGACGTTCATAGGGGTGTCGTCAAGAATAATAAAAGGGTAGCTCAGTTGGTAACTGAGTTTCTAAAAATTTGTTTGAGTCAGGGATTCAAACTCTGCTTTAAGTAAATTTTTGGAGGCTAGAGGAGGACAAGGTGAAGGTTAAATAGGAATACCTTCAGGTTATACCAAAAAAAAAAAATTTAATTACTCTTTTTATTATGTAAAAATAAGTTTATTAAAAAAATAATAAACAAGCAATTATTTTTACAAATATTATTGGAATAAATTAAAGAATTTATATTTCTCATATTATAAGAAATAATTTATAGCAAGTACATATCTACGGTTGGTTCGATTTTAAATGCATTTAAAACTTTTTTCTCTGGTACTGTCAGTAAATGACAGGATCGTAAGACAAATTTCAAACAACTATACCTGGCTACCATTTTCATATATGAAATCTTTTTTGTTTTTAGTCATAAGGGATATACTAAAACTTAATGAGGGGGAAAATGATAGGCAAAATATGAGTATAGAAATTTATTAGAGAACAAATCTTACAACCGCCAATCCGCCATTTTTCCAGAAAGTTGTGTTTTAATATACTTCAATATTCTTAACTTCTGTTTTTAATTTTAATTTGCTTGGGAAATAAAATGAGGAGGAAAAAACCAAAGAAATTATAATCGTAAATATTTAACTTATTTTTCTCTTTAACTTTCTTTTACATGACATGCTGTAGTTAATGCAACTGGTTATTTCATACAGCTTTTTTTTTTTCATTTCTTTCCTTTTGGCACATGAAATATCAACGTGAAAGTTTGTGGGATCAAGATCTTCTGCAATTAATTTTTAATTGCAGAGATTTTGAACCCTTTAAAATAATTTTTCTCTGTTTACCAAAAAAATTCTCATATTAAATAATGAGAACTTCCTTTAAAAATTATCTACCGTTTGAACTATGACTCTGAGGCTGCAAATGCCATTTGTAGTGAGAGATAGAAACATGAAAGAACGGGGCCAAAAAGAAAAAAGAAAGCAAACAAATCGCATAAAAAGTGATAACAACATAATTAAAGACAAAGTAAAGAAAGACACATGTATATGATCACATGTACGATGGATCAAAATGAAGTACAAAAAGACAACACAAGTGCGAAATTCTAATAGGTCAGGCTACAAATTATGTAAGGAGATTGCGGAAAATAGAATAAGACAAATTAAAAAGCACTTCAGTGCTGGCTTTTTACATTGATATATCTTTCATAGTGGATAGATCAGTAACCTAAACTAATAATTAAACTAGAAGTGTGAAGCTGCCTTTTAACACTACGTTACTTAAGAAGGAAGAAAATAAATAGAGGCACGCATTACACTTTTTTTATTTAAAAAAAAAAAGGTGCATTATGTGATCCTTGGAAGAGTCCAATTGTGAGAAATGTTAACCTTTCTATCAAGTGGGCTTCATAACACTTAACGGATCTACATAAGTGACACATTAACCTGTTCATTTGATAGGAGAATGAATTCTCGTGTAATATTTTAACTTGTATGGTCATGTGATGTGAAAATTTTGAGTCTTAATTTCATTAACAAATTGTTGACCAATGTTGCGAAATCGGCAAGTATACCGGTCGTAGAAGTAATAAAGTGATAAGAAAGATCGTTCCCTCGAGGATTAATGCACCAATTATTACTTTAACTAGTCCCTTTAATTTGAAAAACTCGATTTAATTGAGAAAGTAATTGTTGACTGTAATTTAATTAAAGACAAAAATGATCAACAGCATTCAATAATAATCAAGAATGTTAAAAGAAAATATGTGTGAATAAGATTGTAAAGGAAATTGCAGTCATGATGCACTTCACCTCCGATCCTCCCTTATAATTATAAATTAATTCTTATAATTAATTAATTCATTAGCTCAGACAATTCATTTTTTTCCTATTAAATAGTTGAACCTCAATGTCTTAGTGTATTCAACCCTTCAACCCAATTAGAATCCTAGTATCCTAGTAATTCCTCTTGAATCAAGCATTAAGCAGATGAATTTAAAAATCTGCAACCTATGTAAGCCTATGTCTAGATCATATACAGTTTGTTATTCTATCCTAGTCAGAATTAAAACCTCAATATTCCTATTGTGAGCTCTAACCCTCAAAAC